ACGCCCGCCGCGAAGATGCTGTCCGTCCTGAGCATGATGGAATCCGGTCACCTGGATGGCGACGACGAGGACGACCACCACCACGACGAGGACGACCACCACGACGCCCACCCGCTCTCCAAGGCGGAGCTCAGAAAGGTACGAAACAAGAGACATATAATTTCCTTTCTTTAAAAACAAAACAAAAACAAATATCCATGATTTTTTTTTTCCTTTTTTAAAGCCCCAAAATACCCAGTAACTTTTTTTTTTCTTTTTTTGCAAACAACGAATATATAACTTATAACCGAACAACAATTTTGCAACATCGAATGCCTCCTTTTTCATCCGACACGACCAGTTCAACGACCTCATTACGCAGAACGCCGGGCATGTCGTCGCGGAGAACAATAACTCACGACCCCACGTTCATCCCTGACTCCTCCTCAGCTGTGACACCAAGTCCTTCCTCTCATTTCATCCTCATTAGGAAGGGAGATGCGCTGCGGTGGGCGGGCGGCCTCCTCCTCTGGGCTGGAGGGCGGGCGCTAGCCGAGGGAAAGATTTTAAGGATTAATTGATAAAGGTGGATAGATGTATAAATAGGCAGATAGATAGGTAGATGGGTTGATAGGTAGATAGATAGATAGATAGATAGATAGGTAGATGTATAGATAGATAGGAGGACAGATGAATATATAAAGAAATCAATACATTAATAAATAGATGAATAGACAGAGAAATTAATACATCAATAGATAGATGAATAGACAAAGATATTGATACACTGATAGATAGATAGACAAACAAATGCATGGATAAATAAGCAAGAAACTAAGTAAATATCCAAGACAGAAAAAAAAGAAATAATAACAATAAGAGACACGTATCCCCCTCCACCCCCTCTGACAATCCCAATCTCCATTACGCCCCATAAAAGACACAAACAAGGTCCTTTGCGTCCGCCACGACTTTTATGCGACGCCCTGGCCATTCAGCTCGTCATGGCGGCCGTCTCACATTGCACCAAGCACGCCAATCCGCCTTTCACGACCAGACGAGCCTTCCCCTCTTGATCTGTGATAATAAACTAGGATAATAATGTTTTTTCCGTCTTCTTTCCACCTGCAGAGCAACAAGCCCATCATGGAGAAGAGGAGGCGAGCGAGGATTAACACGTGTCTCAACGAGCTCAAGTCACTCATCCTGGACGCCATGAAGAAAGATGTGAGTTTAAGCGGTTGTGGTTCTCTGTTTGGTTTCGATTTGGTTGGGGTGACGGTTCGTTGTGGTAGGTTGTATCTCTGTCTCTTTTTTCTCTTGCTGTCTCTCGCGTTTTTCTTTCTTTCTCTTTTTCTTTCTTTTTTCTTTCTTGTTTTCTTTCTTTCTTCTTTTTCTCTCCATATCTTTCTGTCTCTGTGTATTTCTTTCTCTCTCTCTCTCCTCGCTTCCTTCTTCCTCTCTCTCTCTCTCTCTCCTTCTCGCTTCCTCTCTCTCTCTCTCTCCTCTCTCTCTCTCTCTCTCTCTCTCTCTCTCTCTCTCTCTCTCTCTCTCTCTCTCTCTCTCTCTCTCTGTCTCTCTCTCTCTCTTCTTCTCTCCTTCTCCATCTCGCCACTGTCTTTACTCGTCCACTTTCTCCTGAGTTGTCTCTGCCCCCTTGCGCCCGACCTGCCCTTGATTCCCACGCCAGCCCGCGCCCTCGAGCCTCCAAGGGCCGGAGGTGGTGGGCGGCAGACTCGCAGGGGCGTCACGATTTGGGCGCAGTGTGCACCGCCCGGGGATCCGGGGCGGCCACATCCGTCAGTCCTGGAGGCGAGAGGCCCTCGACGAATGAGGAAGAGAGAGAGAGAGAGAGAGAGAGAGAGAGAGAGGGAGAGAGAGGAGAGAGAGAGAGAGAGAGAGGGAGAGAAGAGAGGGAGAGGAGAGAGAGAGAGAGAGAGAGAGAGAGAGAGAGGGAGGGAGGAGAGAGAGAGAGAGAGAGAGAAGAGAGAGAGAGAGAGAGAGAGAGAGAGAGAGAGAGAGAGAGAGAGAGAGAGAGATGATCTGAAGGCACCTTTAAAACACAGGAGGCAAGAGAAAGGAAACTGTAACGCGATCCCAGTTCGTCAGGTGTTAGGAGTATAAGGTATCAAGGTGTCGGGTATTAGGGTATAAGGGCACTGGGTACCTATTCTTATCCTGGGTATAAGAGAACGGATCGGTTAATAGGAATTCTGTTGCTGTTCTTATTTTCATTTGTCTGTTTATTTTTTTTTTCATTAATCTTTCTTTTAAGTCGGATTCGTGCGTTCGTCATGGCGACAACAGCTTGTTCTAAAAATAATGATAATAATAATAAAAATAAATAGAAATAAAAAAGTGACTAGGAAGGAATTAGCTGTAGCATTTTTTTAATCAAATTTGATGAAGGTTTTTTGTCTTCTAATTGAAACACAAATTTCCCGGGATGTGAAGTTATTTGTACTTTTTATTTGAACTTCTGGCCAGTTCCCACGAGTCGAGAGCTTTGATCGGAAATGACGAGCAGTAGAAAGTCGCTCCTTGAAGTCAAGAATGTGTGTTGGATCCATTTTCGTGCGTCTCTCAGGGGAGATTTTGGAGGATGGGGGGGAGGGGAGGGGGAGGAGGGGGTTAGTGGCAGTGGTTTGTGGTCTTTGGCTCCAATTGGCACGGACGCGTTAACGGCTTCCTGATAACTACGAGGGCGTCTGCGGGCGGCGGTCCCGAGCGTGGGCGTGAGAACCCCATGAATGAGCCCCTTGAGTCGGTTCACACAGTGGCTCGCGGGCGGCGCGGTCCCGTCCCTCTGGCGGCGAACTCTGCGGCCGTCTGCGTGGCGCTGTCTGCTCGGGCCGATTCCTGAGACCTCTCGCCTTCCCTTGGTTCCGAAATGTAAACAGAGAAGAGGGAAATAGGAAGAGAAGAAGAAGGAGAGAGAGAGAGGGATATAGCGAAGGAGGTGAAATCTTCTGCCGAATGTGGATGTGTCTGTTATGCCTCTCTCGCGCGGAGGTTGACCGTGGGAAGAGCGGGCCCGGTGGTCTTGTCATTCCCCCCCCCTTTCCCCCCTTTCTCTCCCTCCTCCCTTCCTTTCTCCTCCCTTTACTTCTTCTTTCTCTTCCCCTCCTTCCTCTCCCCGCATTCCCTTCATTTTTCCTTTACATTCCTTTATTCTCTTTCACTCCTTTCTCTTCTCTGTCTCTCTTCTTCCCTCACCTCCTCTCATCCCTTCTCTCCTCCTTTCTCTAAACCTTTCTTTCTCTTCTCTCTTTCCTCCCTTCTCTTCCCTTCCCCTTCCTCCACCTCTTCCCTCTCTCTCACTCTCATATCTACCCTCCTCCTCACCCCCTTCCCCGCCACCTCACCCTCCCTCCCATCCAAACTCCCTCCCTCCACGCCTCCCATCCACCCTCCTCCTCACCCTCCTCCTCCTCGCCCTCCTATCTACCCTCCTCTTCACCCCCTTCCCCTCCAAACCCCTCCCTCCCCCCCTCCTCACCCCTTCCCCACCAAAACCCCTCTCCTCCCTCCTCACCCCCTTCCCCTCCAAACTCCCTCCTTTCTCCTCACCCCCCCCCTTTCCCCTCCTCACCTCCCCCCCCTCCCGCCCCGTCGTCGCCTCCAGCAGGTCCCTCCGACGCTGCGCTGTTTCCGCGGCAGGTGACTGCTCGCGGGACATCGTTTCTTGATTCTGTCTGCTTAAAAATGCTTCCGGTTTCATCGCGTTGCTTGCCATTGCAGTTGCTCGCCGAGAGGACGCCCACGCTGGCTTCATTCCGAGGTGCATTTATCAACCTACGCCTCCTGGTTTTCTTCGTATATGTCTGTATCTAAATCTACGTCTATATTCGTATCTGTTTCTATGTATTTACATCTTTATGTGTCTGTAGCATGTACCTCCGCATCTGAATGGAAATCCAAATCTGCAACAGAATCAAAATCAAATCCTAAATAAAAAGATAAAATCCTAAATTCTAACCCTAGCTAAATTCCGAATTCTAAATCAAAGTCTAAATATCTGAACCGAATTCTAAACAAAGCCTATATCTAAATCTGGTTCAAACTCTAAATCAAAGCCTCGCTCAAAGCCTGTCAGCCGGCGAGCCTCGATCAGTTTCCGGCGCCGCGTCCCCGTCTCGCGCGCGATGGCGTCGGCAAAGATTCAAATCTGGCGCCTGTCCTGCACCGGCTGCGGGACAGGTGGCGGGCTCAAAGGCGGCCGTGGGAAGAGTCGCGTTCCTGGCATTCCAAAGCATTCCCGTTCCCATGGCATTCCTGGCGGGCATTCCTTCGCCCTAAAGTCGCAGGGGTCGCGCGGCAGGTGGGTCGGCGCCATTGTTGTCGCTGTGACGTCACGGAGGGAGGAAGGTGGCGGGAAGGGGCGACGGAACGGCCTTTTATTTCCCGGCTTTTTAAACTTCATATCAACTTTTGTGTCGCGATGGAGGCAATCAACAGTTTTTTTTTTATCCTTTCTTTTTCAGTATACAATGCCGAATACCTATCTCTCATTCATTTTCCCATGTAAAAGGGGGGGGGGGGGGCGGAATTGTAAAGGGGGAACTTGTCTGTATTGCAGTTCGTGGGAGAATCCGTTTCCTCTCAGCCTTGGGAAATGTGGGTATGATTTCAGGAGCATTATCTCCCCGGGCATCTGGCTTCTCCTCCTCCCTCTCTTCCCTCCTTCCCTCTTCGTTCCTTCCCCTCCCCTCCCTCCTTCCTCTTTCTCTCCCTCTCTTTCCTTCCCATGTCCGTCCCCCCGTCTCTGGCCTTCACATGTCCGTACATTCTTTTTATCTCTTCCCCTTCTCTCTCCTCCTCTCGTTCCCTCCCTTCTCCCTCTCTCGTCCCTCTCTCCTCCCCATGTCCGTACATCCTTCTCTTCCTCCTTCCTCTCGTTCTCTCCCATGTCTCTCTCTCCACTCTCCCCTCCTCCTTCTCTTCCCATGTCCGTGCCTCCTTCCTCCCTCCCTCCCTCTCTTTCCTCTCTCCTCCCTCCTTCCCTCCTCAAGTCCGCCCCTTTCTTAGGCTTCCATCCGGTTCTCGCCTCCCCCCCCCCCCCCCCCTCGCACCTTCCCTCCTTCCCCTCGCCACCTGCCGCTTCCCCTTCAAAGGACGAGGGCGGAGCGAGGGGAAAGAGAGAGGGGAGGTAGGATGCGACTGTGGGAACGGCTCTCCTCCTTCCCCTCCCTCCGAGGGGATCCTGCCACCGCGCCAAAGGATCATTATCTGAAACGGATTAGAGAGAGTGGCGCTTTCTGGGCTGTTTTGGCGCCATCTCGTGTCCCTCTCTTGGCTTGGGAGTATTTGATAGAAGAAATACTACACACTGCCTTGGTTAGTGGCATCGGTGGGATCGCGTGTCGATATATTTCACGAGGAGAACTCAGCGTAGTTGAAAAGTTTGAAAAGGTAGTTTATTCGGGCGTGACATGCGAACGGCGCGGTGAGAAGATCGGTTCGTATTTTCTTTTCTTCTTAAACCGTTTTCTTTCGTTCTCCAATCTCTTTGTCTGCGTCTTATTGGAAGTTTACTAGCGTGTCTGTTTGTATGTAAGTATGAATGTATACGTGTGCGTATATATGGGTATGCGTAATTGTGTGTGTGTGTGCGTCCGTCCGTGTGTGTTCGTTTCTGTGTGTGTTTATGTGTGCACAGGACAACACGGAACAAACAAATACTGGTACATTTGCTTAACACAAATTACATGATTGTATACTATGCCCAAATACAAATAACAAGAGAAAATTGCGTGAATAACAAATTGGAAATTAATCGCACAGAACGGTTACTAAGCCTTCGACCATGTTGACAGTCATATCATTATATCCCAATGTCAATATACCTATTTGGTTTAGTATATGTTGAAGGTTGTGAGATTAAAGGGTTTATGGAGAAAGGAATTCGAGGCAAATGGTGTATGAGCTTTGGTAGGAGAGAGAGAGAGAGAGAGAGAGAGAGAGAGAGAAGAGAGAAGAGAGAGAGAGAGAGAGAGAGAGAGAGAGAGAGAGAGAGACAGAGACAGAGACAGAGACAGAGACAGAAAAAAAAGAGAAAGAGAGAGAGGGGGGGAAAGGAAGAGAAAGAGAGGAGGGGGAAGAAAGGAAGAGAAAGAGAGAGAGAGGGGGGGGAAAGTGAGAGAGAGGGAGAGAGAGAGAGAGAGAGAAGAGAAAGAGAGAGAGGGGGAGGGAGAGAAAGGAAGAGAAAGAGAGAGAGAGATGGGGCA